AAATCCCATCAATTATGCCACCTAATTAAATGGCTTTACATTCTCCCACTTGAAGACTTTGATGAGTTAATCAAGTCTTCACACTTGATCTTTTGTGATTCTTCTATCATTTCTATACTTGTCATCTTCATGCTGCTTACGTTTCTGCTAGGCCGTAAGAGGATCTGCACCATATATACTTATCAGTGTTGACCGGTTTCGTCAAAGCATCTGCTGGGTTTTCCTTTGTGTGAATCTTCTGAAAATCCACACTTCCATCTTCCACCACTTCACGAACAAAGTGATACTGAACATCGATGTGTTTTATTCTTGAATGAAACACTGGATTCCTTGTAATATGCAAGGCACTTTGACTATCACAATACAAAAGAATATTCTCTTGTTTGTGCCCGAGCTCCTTCATAAGTTTCTTCATCCAAATTGCTTCTTTACAAGCTTGTGTAGCTGCCATGTACTCAGCTTCTGTTGTGGATAACGCTACAACAGTCTGTAGTTTAGAGACCCAGCTCACAGCTCCTCTTGCAATTATGAACACATAACCTGTAGTGGACTTTCTTTTCTCAAGGTCACCAGCAAAATCTGAATCAACATAATCTCTGATAGTAAATTCTAATCCTCCATAACATAATGCAGCATCTAAGGTACCCTTGATATATCTCAAGATCCTCTTAATAGTATTCCAATGCTCTCTACCAGGATTTGCCATGTATCGACTAACTGCTCCCACTGCTTGTGCAATGTCTGGTCTTGTACATATCATGGCAAACATTAAACTTCCCACTGCTGATGCATACGGTACTCGAGACATCTCCATCCTCTCTGCTTCATTGCTAGGAGACATACTTGAGGATAATTTGAAGTTAATAGGAAGTGGGGTGGAAATTGGCTTACAATCTTGCATGTTGAAGCGTCGCAAGATCTTCTTTAAATAATTCTTCTGAGAAAGCCAAATCTTCCTCTTACTTCTGTCTTGGTAAATTTGCATCCCTAGAATCTTGTTTGCTAGTCCCAGGTCCTTCATATCAAACTCCCTAGCCAACTGTGCCTTCAATTCTTGGACTCGATCTTTGTTGGGGCCTATCACCAACATGTCATCCACGTACAACAACAAAATGATGAAATCTTCTTCAAACCTCTTGTAATACGTACAATGGTCTGAACTGAGTCTGTTGTACCCAAGGCTAATTATAAAGGAATCAAATCTCTTATACCAACACCTCGGCGCCTGTTTGAGACCGTATAGAGATTTGTTCAACCTGCAAACCAAGTTCTCCTTGCCTGTTTCAGCAAAACCCTCTGGTTGGAGCATATAAATTTCTTCTTCAAGTGCTCCATGAAGAAATGCAGTTTTCACGTCTAACTGCTCCAAGTGAAGATCAAATATAGCACACATTGCCAAGACTACTCTGATTGTCGTAAGTCGTACCACCGGAGAAAATATCTCATTGAAGTCTATTCCTTCTTTCTGAGCATATCCTTTCACCGCCAATCTCGCACGATACCGCTCCACTTGATCATTGCCATCACGTTTTATCTTGTAAATCCATTTCTTGCCAATGGCCTTTCTTCCTTGTGGTAGCGGAACAAGATCCCAAGTATTATTCTTGTGCAGAGCTTCAATCTCCTCTTGCATTGCTGTCATCCACATAGATACATCTGTGCTTTTGATAGCCTCATGGAAAGTTGATGGCTCTCCATCCTCTGTTAGAAGACAGTATGCAATGTTACTTTCAGTAACATATTCTGAGTGCCAAGCTAGTGGTCTTCTTTCACGAGTTGACCGCCGAACTTTAGGAGTTTCAGACTCTATTTGTTCTTGCTCTTCATGCTCTGGTACAGCTTCAGAAGAAGCATGATTATGAGTATTTTCTACATGGACTGCTGTAGTCTCCTTTAGAATGCTATTATGTTCTTCCATTTGCATTTTACCTTCTGCAAATATGACATCTCTACTGATCACTACCTTGTGGGCAGTGGGATCCCACAAGCGATACCCCTTCACTCCATCAGCATATCCCAAAAATATACATTTTCTGGATTTTGAATCCAGCTTGCTAACTTCTTGTGTATTGTACATCACGTACACAGGACTTCCAAATATATGCAATCGAGAATAATCAGCTGGTTTTCTAGTCCACATCTCCATCGGTGTCTTCAGCTCAATTGAGGTTGATGGAGATCGATTTATCACATAATAGGCGATATTGACTGCTTCTGCCCAGAATGACTTTCCTAGACCTGCAGCCTTCAACATTGCTCTTGTTCTTTCTAATAGAGTTATGTTCATCCGCTCTGCCACTCCATTTTGTTGTGGAGTGTATGCCGTTGTGAACTGCCTTTTGATACCTTCATGTTGACAAAAGTTATCAAATTCATCACTGGTATATTCTCCTCCATTGTCAGTCCTCAAACACTTGATCTTCTTTTCAGATTCAAGTTCCACCCGCGCTTTGAAAGTTTTAAAGACTATAAGCACATCTGCCTTCCTTCTAATTGGATACACCCAACATCTCTTGGAGAAGTCATCTATGAATGATACAAAGTATCTTGCTCCTCCCAAGGATACAACCGGTGCTTGCCAAACATCAGAGTGAATCAGGTCTAAGATGCATTTGCTCTTAGTTGTAGATGTGCCAAACTTCAACCTGTGTTGTTTACTTGTAACACAGTGCTCACAAAAAGGTAAAGTAACCTTTGTAAGCCTAGGGAGTAACTTCTGATCAGAGAGAACTTTTAAACCTTTTTCTGACATGTGACCTAGTTTTTGATGCCACATCATCGTCTTCTCTTCTGCAGGGCTGGCTGATGCGATTGACGCTTCTGCCTCATGATGTGTTTCTCCCATTAATGCAAATACATTTGCAACTGTCTTTCTTGCCTTTAAAACCACCAGCGCTCCTTTGATGATTTTCATGATTCCATTTTCTGTTCGGATCTTACAGCCAAGACTATCAAATTGTCCTATGGACAAAAGATTCTTCTTTAAGTCTTTCACATGTCGCACTTCTGAAATAGTATGAATTAAGCCATCATACATCTTCAATTTGATGGTGCCAATGCCAACAATCTCTAAAGCATGATTATCACCCATGAACACTTTGCCTCCAGAGATAGGTTTATATGTATGGAACCAATCTCGATTAGGAGTCATATGCCATATTGCTCCTGAATCCATTAGCCAGACCTCAGTGAGCTCTTCTGTATCTGTAGAGATTGTCGCTGCTTCACTATATAAAACATCTCCATCTTCTGAGGTGCTCGCAACACACCCTTGAGATTTTGATGACTCTGCAGAATTCTCTATACCCTTTTTAAACCAACAATCCTTTTTGAAGTGCCCCTTTTTGCCACAGTTGTAGCATTTCACAGCCTTCTTACTTCTTGATTTGGACCTCCTCTGCCTTTGACTCCCACTAGAGCCACGCTCCGTTGATCTTCCTCTTGACACCAACAATGCCTCTGCTTGGTTTGAACTATTTCTGTCTCCTTTGTTTTTGCGCCTATTTTCTTCTTCCAAGATAGCGGCTGCAACATCATCGAAGACTAGATAATCTGAGAGAATATTATTTGTCAAGTTGATAATGAGCTGATCATACGAATCAGGAAGACTTTGAAGTAGAAGCTCTGCACGTTCATTTTCCTCTATTTGCTGACCCAATGTAGTGAGTTGTGAAAATAGAGTTCTTATTGTGTTGATATGGTCAGTCACCGATGTGGTCTGCCATTCGAAGGGTATAAAGTCTCCGCTTTAAGAAAATCTTATTGTGCAAAGACTTGGACTCGTATAGCTTTGTTAGAGTCTCTCATATCTCCTTAGCTGTTTTCTTCTCCGCCACACTTGATAATACTTCATCGGCTAATGCTAAATGTATGTTAGCAATAGCATTGTCATCCATCTCATTCCATTTTGCATCATCAGTGATCTCCGCGGGCCGCTCCCCAATTGCTGCCAAGCAATTGTCTTTCCTTAAAATTGTCTTGATTCTCATTTTCCACAATGAGAAATTGCTCCCACTAAACCTCTCAATCTCGTACTTTACTGTCATTGTATTCACCAAGATCTATTCAGCTATCACCGTTTCACAGATCTGTAACGTATATAGAAATAGTATCGTGTGAATAATACTTAACTAAGTAAGTTCCCAGGAAAGATTGGAGGGGTCACAAACGGTCCCGCTTAAAACCCAATCTCCTTAGACAGAACTTCCTAGACTGTATTTAATCACCGCACTGACTTTCTATATACGCCAACAGCAACGTATGTGAACAGTACCGTATGGATGAATAGTGCCGTATAGGTGAATAGTGTCGTATACGTGAATAGTACTCGTAGACACGAATAACTTTTGTGTATTAACAACACCAACCAGGAGGCTCTGATACCACTGTTAGGATGCTGGCATGCAAACCCGACAAGATAAAAGATAAGAGACCGGATAAAATGAGAAATGGAACACACAAGAATTTACGTGGTTCACCCAATTGGGCTACGTCCACAGACAAGTATAGAAGGATTTTACTAAGTAATATGGGAATTACAACCTCTCTCGAATAATAGGAGAACAACTAAGAATCTCTCTATTATTAGGAGAAAACACCTCACTTACTCTATCACAAATACCTCACAATTTTGTGGGATTACTCTCTCTTCACTCTCTTCTTCTTCTCTCTATTTTGGTGTGCATATAGACTTGAATACATTGCCTATTTATAGGCAAGAGTGAGGGTATAATGATCATAAATTTAGGAGGAATATATGCCTAACAACTCATCCTCCACTCATACTCCACCAATTACAACTCATCTCCCACTCAAATCCCATCAATTATGCCACCTAATTAAATGGCTTTACATGATTAAGTATGGAGAAAGAACATGGGTCCTGTGGTCTGCAAGCTCCGAGCAGCGTAGTAAAGCTTCAACATCCCCTCATCATAGTATGTTTGAGTCTATCTCTGATTTTCAAGATTATTCTAATATTTCTGATGATAAATTGCTTCAAGTCTCCTACGGGATGTTGGAGATGGCTAAGTGTCTCTTCGGAGGTGTTCCAATAACTGCAAGAGAAACGTCCATTTTGCCTAACCATCAAGAAGCGACCTCAAATCCCTTGAAGAAAATATATCCTAAAGATGCTTTTAAGGTAACTGAAATGCAGCTTGGATTTATGTATGACCTGCTGTATACGAAGGCACTAGTGTCCTACACCCCCTGTGGAATTGTCTTGCGGCTCACCAGTTTTCTGCTCACCAGCATTGTGCTGGTGTTATTTTCTTTGGCCCCCCACAACGTACATAAGTACTCAAAGGTCGATCTTTGCATTACTTTTTCATTGCTTGTTGTGGCAATGGTTTTGGAGCTTTATGCGGCACTTGCATTCCTTTTCTCAGACCGTACTCTTGTCTGGATGAGAAAACATAATTTCCCTAGCCTCTCACGATACATTACTTCTCTCGTAATACATAGAAATCATAGATGGTCAAATTACATGGGTCAGTTCAATTTGCTAAGCTACTTCTTCAACGAAAAACCCATGGGTTTTCGTGGAATCTTAGAGCTCTTGAAAATCAACGAAAAGCTAGAAAAACAACGATATGCTACTTATCCTCAAGTCCCAGAGGATTTGAAGGAATGGTTAGTCATGCATTCCATTAAATTTAGGGATATGTTAAAGAAGGGTCCAGAGGATGTTAAACTTATGTCCAGGAGTGCGAGAGGAGCTGCAACGTTGGAATCTTTCTTGCCCAATGCAGATGATCAGACCATTCTGTTCATGAGTTGTTTTACAGAGTTTCATCAAACAATCATTATTTGGCACATTGCTACAGAACTCTGCTATCACCTAGATCATGACTATTTCACCCAAAAAGAAATCAGACCATCCAGTAGTGCAGAAACTGCTGTATTGAACTGGAAAATGAGCAAGCGCATCTCCAGATATATGATGTATCTCCTCGCCATTTCACCTGAAACGTTGCCATCCAGCGGGGAAATCGGTCATGTCAACTTTAACCGCACTTGTGACGAGGGCAGGAAAGAAATTGCATTATTTGATAAAGTCGGCATCCAGAGAGAGAGAAAACACAAGATTAGAATCGAGGCCTCCAAATGGTTGCATGAGCGGCACAAAGATTCAATTACCGAAAAAAGCCAAATCTTGAAACAATTGAATGGATCTCTTCTATCCTTGGGGTGCCTGCTTGCTAAACATCTGATAGAGAGCATGCGGGATAGGCCTGAAGAAGAGGTGAGCATCCGTTTAGTCTTTTTTTCATTTTAGTGTCCCTTGTTTCCCTTTAGCTTGTAATTTATTATTTCTTCACGTACATGTTGTCAGCGTATGGAGAGAAAATGGAACGCCATTGCCGGATGCTTGTTCGAATTTCTTGTCTATGCTGGAAGACAAAGCAGTGGAAATCAGCACGCACAACAACTTAGACAAGGTGGAGAGTTTCTCACTCATTTCTGGCTTCTCTTCGAGGAGCTGACGTTTCTCGATTATTCCCCTACATCGCCAACAACGACTAGCTAAGATGAAGAGGAGTTGATTTAAAATAACCATCTCTTTCCTGGGGAAAGACTGCATGCTTGCGAAAGAGAAACTACGCTTGTTGACGTTTTAAATATGATATATGCTTGGTAAACTTCTAGTTATGAACAGGAGATATCCTTTTCTTCTTCAAATCTACTTTTTTTTGTGGCCTAAACTCCCAATCAAATTCATATTTCATAAGCTGTTTTTGAGAGCTTTAATTGGGAATCTTATTTAACAAATACATGACAGTTTTTATAATGTATATATCAATCAATAATTTAACATAATCTTGATTATATATAATAAAATACGATTATTCCGTTTCCTACAACATTTTATGATGTTGTACTTAATATTGTGTATTGAACATACATATCATGTTTTTTAAAAAGATATGATCATTCATGATAAAATAACAATTAAATTTTATTATAGTGAAAATACTTTTTATTTTTTAATTAATATGAGTGTCCGGACCAGTTTACGTATATTTTAACTAATTTTATATGTTTTAAAGTTAATAACAATATAAACTTTCAATAACTCTGAGATTTATGGGATTTGAACTGGTGATCTCAAGAAAACAAATGTAAAACCTGACTCGTTAAGTTACACCCCTCAAAATTAAATTAAAATACTTATTAATATCCCATAAAATGACTTATCAATAGTTCTAACAATGCTTTTTTCATAAATTTCATAAATTTCTAGACACTTTTAGTTTTGGAAAATTAAAACATGCTTAATGTTATTTATTATATTCATTCCTCCAATACCTTTTGTAATATTTATGGAAATACTTTTCATTAACATTTCTAATGCAAGTAATAATAGCAGGTTTCTCAACTTAAAGTGTTAAATCAATATCTTAAACACATAGGTGAAATGAGACTTTAAATATTGGTTTAGATTAAGAATACAAATATAGAGAAATAATAATAAATACTTCAAAGATTAATAAAAATATTTAAACATTAATACTTTAAATAAAATTTTAAATACACAGTAAAAATTTTAAAAAATAATTTATATAAATAATAAATGTATACTATGTTCTCTTTGGACCGTGAAGTGATATATAAAATAACTATAATAATCTTAATAAAATTTGACAATATTTAGTAATTATATATGCATTAAGTAGATGCATTTACTATCTTTGAATATATTAACAAAATTGATAGCAAATCTTTATTATTAACAATTATGTTCATTAATCATAATAACATGTAGCCAACCTTTGGATAATCTTAAAATGTCTTATAACAATGAACTTTGATTTTATTAATATCAAAATTAATGATCACTAATTAGAAAAGAAAAAACTATACAATTCAAAACTTTTTTTGTTTTAAGCATTTGACCACTTTGATGATTAATAAATCATTGAATTCAAAATTGTAAATATAATACTCGAACATAAATATTACTATAACTTATAGTCATGATTTATCATGCTCTTAATTTTATATTTATTAATTATGCTTATATACATATAACCAATAATTATTTATTACCTCACATCCAAGTTCTTTGTTCCAAAATAATTTGCTTCACTAATCTGTACAATAAAAATTTTGATTATTCAATCTTATTCCTAGTGTGATATATATATATATATATATAATATTTCCTAATGAAACTTGTAAATTATAATTACAAGACCTTCGACCTCCCGTAATATTATACTTTTTATTCCAGGAATCCTTCACGGGCTATGAACCCTAGTTCAGATCGGTTTTGTGATAGTAGCACAAGCAAAATTATGCATTTAGTATTGTCTATCTATGATAAACTATAAGCTTTGGTGATTGAATACTACCACACGCCGACAAATCATAAAATTGCAGTTTAAGCGTAGTTTTTTTATATTCAATACGTTCACATCAAGTTAATTATTTAATTAAATACTTTATCTATCATCAATTATGAAAATATAAACAATAATATTTCCCAAGAATTATTTATATATAAAATTATTATGATGGACAATGAAAGAATAAAATAAAATCCCTCAATTAAAATATCTAGGATTCATAAGATATTGGGAGAAACAATAATCTTTGAATAGAAAAAACATAAGTTCCTAAAACTAAAGCTCTTACGCCACAAGTTAGCAATTCTTGAATTCTTAAACATGAAAAAATCAAATATATAAATTATAATGCTCTTGATATTATATCTTCATGATTTTCATATTTAAATAATTATTTGAAAAAAATTATACTTTATTCCATAACAAGTCATTTAAGATAATAAATTCTAAATGTGAATTGATAAAGAAAAATATCTTCTCTTATAATTCTCAATTATTTTTACTTATGTTCTGATAGGGAAAAAAGGTACAATTATAGATAAGAGAGGACTAGTTTTCTGAATAAATTAACATGTTATATATTATTTTATACATTCATCATGTATGTAGTTATTAAATAAAAAATTACTTTTTAAAATTGACTAATAGGATTTTAATATTAATTTTTATTAAAAATTCTAAGAACTCATTATCTCTTTCATCTGCACCAAATCTAACAAGGTTGACATTGTTTCATCCCCCCATCAATAAGGATTTTTTGTCCTTTTCAATTATTCACCAAAGAATTAAAGATCTCTCGAAGAGTTTCATCAATTGATCTGTGATCAAAAGAAAGAGAAATTTAATTTACGCACTAGCTGGACAAGAACAGTAAAATTATAATGACCATTCTATATACCTAAAAGAGAGAGAATATTTCACACACGCACACACTTAATTATGCATATTGAAGTTCTCGTGGTGAAGAAGAAGAAGAAGAAAAAGAAAAGAGAAGGAACCTGAAATGGAGAAAAACACATCAAGGTATTATAAAGAAAAAAAGAGGAGAGAATTAGGCAAAGTTTTTAAACCCGGTCAGTCTAAGGCCCAGGTTTCAAGTTTTGACCCGGTTACCGGATTTTGACCGGGTCAACTAGGTCAATTCTTATTTTAAAAAACATTTTAAATAGCATTATTTTAATAAATAAAAAAATAAAAATTAACGAGTTGTAACTAGAATTTTGACCAGGTCAACCCATCAGGTTGGCCAAGTCACACTGAATTATAACTTATCCTGTTTTTTCATTAATCCAGCCCAATTTTAATTCTAAATTGATTGGGTCTTAGATTGACCCGCTGGACCCGCGGGTTTCAAGACACTGGAATTAGGTGTTCCATGCAGGTGCTTTACTAGCCAACAAAAGAACAATTAATTATTCCTATTTTCCTCTGTTTAAAGTAGCATTTGCTTCTTTACTTGCCGTAAAAGGAAAGAAAAGCTAAAAAAAGGAAGCATGGGATTGGCTCTGCACCTAGCCTCTGGTCATTTGACATTATCCCTTTCCTTAATTCTTTACTTGGGGAGAAAAGAAAGCTAATTCTATAATGTTAATGACAAATCTCAAGCATTCTGGTCCGTCGGTTCCTGTTGAAAGGTATGGATCAAGGCTCCTGAAAATATTTTATAGTATTGTTACTCTTTTTTAAATACATATATCGATTGTTGCCCAAAAATCACGAATAAATAGAAAAGTGAGGGTAGATGTTTGATTTGATATGACAATTACAACTCAAGATAAACATGTAAACGTGTAATCAAACAAATCTAGCATGAGTTCTAAATAAATATATATTAACTTGCATAACATATAGAAAAATAATTGTAATATGCTTACAATATATATATATATATATATAGTTGCTGTAAAAAACAAAAGGTATATATATTTATGATGCTTACAATATATATATATATATATAAATTATACCTAAACAAAATTAATTTAAGATATTTACTTGTTGAAAGTCTTAAATGAGATTTTTGTTGTTATCAATAATAAAATTTTTATTCTTAAAATTTAATTGTTTCTCACTTGTTGTAATAATTTTATTAATAAATTTTTTAGGATTTCAATAACATTACTTTATTTAGTTAGAAATAAACTCAAATGAATTTGTGTTTAATATCTTTCTATAAAAACTAAATCTAAGATTTAGATTATAAGGAAAGTTAAAAAAAAACCCAAAAAAAACAAAAACACAAAGCTTCAAGTTGAAGAGAAAAGGATGGAAATTTAAGCAGAAGAAGAGTAAACTCTTTTGTAAGAAACAATTTTCTTCAGCCGTTTCATAGAGAGTTTTAGAAACCAAAACTGATGAAATTTTCTCAATTATCACCTTTAATTATTCTCCACAAAACCTAAATTATACTTGAATATTAATTCTTACTTTAAATACAATGTTTTTTAGCTTAAAAATTTATTCAAGCTTGCAAAAAATCCTTCTAGAAAATAATTGATCAAGAAAAAAAATAATTTTTCATAAATCATATCCAAGCTCAAATTTAAATTAAAAAATAATATTTTATTTTTAAAAAATTATTTTATAATAAACTCACACTTAAATTCAACTTGAAGCCCAAGCCAAGTCGCATGCATGGATTTGAGCCCGAACTTACTTTATTACTTTGTTTAAGACATTTTCTTTCTAAAAACTAACTTGAATGTTCTTTAAATTTAATTTTAACTTTTAACAATTCCACTATAAGGTAAGCTTATATTTTGGATAAAGGATTTTGGTTTTTCTTTAAAACATACCAACAAGGTTTATTTTACTTTCTTATTCACCTAAAATTTATTTAAATTATATTAATTTCACATGCTAAAGAATTTATGTTAGAAATTAAATTCCAACCAAGTTTTAATCTCAAAAGTAAATTAAACTCACTTTTAATTTGACTTTAAATATATTTATTGACCATGATTTTAAACAATATTTTCAACATATATAAAATAATGTAGCTTTACTTGAACCCTCACAGGATGGCATAGCATGCAAGTTAATTTGGAATTAATTCATAATTTTCATGGGACTGCCTTGTGAAAAAAGTGAAGAAGAAAGGAGGAGTAACATAACATCAACATTCAAGGACCATGAAGAGAATTATATGTTCCTCAAAGCATGTCAATAGGGAACTAGCATGCCTACTGACCTATCTAATTTTATTGTATAATTTTTTTATGCA